GTCAGAAGCGGGCTCCATTCCTCCTCGACCAGGCCTTTCGGTCGGAGATCGGATCGCCCTTTTGGCCTGTCGTTTATGTTTTTGGACCGGCCCAGGAGTTTACGCATCGTTCACAACGTCGTCTGCTGGGTCGAGCTTTTTTGGTGAAGCTGGTCTACGAGGAATCCCGGGTTTATAAACCCGACACATGTGGTAACCAATAATTACCCTGTTCGCTGATGCTGAAATAATTCGGCTTATACTGATGTTTACATTGAAATATTATAAAAAAAAACCCGTTCCATAACTAAAAAGTAGCTCTGAAGACGAACACGAACACGGGGAATATCGTTGTACACTCGTGACGTTGCTTTGCAGAGTGTACGGATTGACGCGATATCTTGAAAGGTATACAGTACTTGGTCCACCTAGGTTGCCATGCCTGGTTGGTTGGCACAGTAGAGTATATTGATTTAATCCTTGATGAAGTCTGTTCATGGAGTAGACCAAATTTCAGTCATGTGCTACCCATTGCGTGCGATCCCTAATAATTAATCCAAGGATATAACAATAATCCTATTCCTACAGTCCTCCTACTACTAGTGCCATCTAGTCAATATACTATAGTACTACTTGTACGTTTGCTCCTTTAAGTCGGTATCATGAATCATGCATTCATGTAGGCACTACACAATAGTACACTTTAAACTGCAAAATCATGAACGAACGAGAATGAGCAGGCGACACAGCAAGCACAAGCAAGGTGGCGTGCGCTGGACATGAATCACATGCTGATGGAATGGAGCAAACAGGCAAACGGCAGGCAGCCCCTTGACCTACCAGCCCGGCCGTCCGGGTCATTTGCCGTACGTCACCGACTGACTAGACTACCCTAGCCCCGGTAGCTAGGCCGGCCCTGCTGCTTGCTGAATGCAAAGCACAAGCTCAACGTCAACGTACAGGTCGCCCAAGTTGCGGCATGTGAATCCATAGTTTACGAGTCCAATCAGGCGTGCCTAGCCTAGCCTAGCCTTGTGTTTGGCGCTGAAACTTTTGTGGTTCCCGGGGCAGGCATCATCATCATCTGCAGTGATCTCACGAGGACGAGGACGTGGACGGCACCACCACAGACAGCGGCAGTGATCGAGTACAGCAGTGTAATAGAACCGCCAATGTGCGCGGCATGTTTCACGGCAGATTACAGGCAGCGCACGCTACGAACACATGCCGGCCCTTCCATGGATCGATGCAATGGATTAGCGAGTCATTGTCGTGCTTGTGCTTGTGCTGCCCAATCTTTTCAAGTTACTGTCCCTGTTTAGATGATGTGTTCCTCTAACCACCACTGTTGGCGTACAGCAAGTGGACATGTAAACCACTGTGTATGTTCTAGCTAGTACTATAGGACAACGATGTCCCTAGCTCACGGCATGGTGCACGCCTCGTTTCTATGGTCCCTTAGCTAGAGCTCCAACTTCAATTCGAACACATCAGTTCTAGCTTATCTGATCAAGCGACTTATTATGTTCTTTAGCTTCTCTGCTTAGAAAAAAAAAACTTTAGTAAAACCTCTCGTTGTTGGAAAGAATGAAATGTCCATAACAAATTCCTATTTTTTTTCTCTCGTTTTGCCTTTCTTCCTGCATTTTTCTTCCTTTCTCTCTCGTTCCTCGTCTCTCTCTACCTTATCCTGCTTTCAATGCCTCTGCCTCTACCGCACGCTGCACGCACATCCGCCCCCGCAATGGCTCGCCTTACATTACCAACCTCGCGCACTCGCGCTACTGCCACAGGCTCCTATCTCGCATCGCCAGTCGTGCCACCGCCACCGCCACGGGCTCCCTCCCTCACCATCTACACGAGCTCTCCAGGAAGGAGGCGTTGATGAGAGGGCATCCCTGTGACCCTGTCCACACACCCAGTGAGCAGCTCCACCATCTACCAGTGGCGGAGACATCGTTAGGACACCCTAGGCGGCTGGACGGGCCAGGCTCGTCGGTGAAGTTCAATTTTTTTTTATAATTGAAGAAGAACATTATAATTTGCTAGGTAAATATTTTTATATAATAAGGATTGTCCGGGCTATGAAAAGCTTAGCTCTCTGGCTCTGCTGTCCCATGGTTTCACGTGCAGCGCTTCCTCTATTTGGTTGGGAGCATGCTGAAATGGCTTCAGGAACGGGTGAAGAAGCTCTACCAAACAGACAATTTCTACAGCGATATTAGCATCGTTTGACAATAGTTTCACCACTCAGAACCCCTCCTTTAATTTTGTTGGTAAAAAATATGTATTGTACATGGACGCGATCATCATTCATCTCCTACTTCTCAGTGTGCCACGGTGCAGCGCCATCAGATTAGAGTTTTACCAGCAATCACGGCAACGCCCACCGTACCATTCTTCATAATCAGAAACAATAGTCCGACAACGCCTCAAAACCCTTGCCAATCTCCACCAGGAGAACGATCTCCAGCATCCAACTGTGCTTGGTGATTGGTGACTTTGTGAAGAGAACATTTTTCGTCGTTGGACATCGTCTCCGATCCACTTCTGCGGCTACCTCCGGCAGGTTAACTGAATGATCATCGCACGATTCCCTCTGACGTTTTGCGCCATTGCAGTTGCACTTTGGCCACAGAATCTCCTTCCCAGCATCGCATGTACTACCGCGCGCTCTGGCAGCGCGAAGCAGGAAACCTCGTCTCCTGCCATGGCCTCTTACGACGTTATTACCCGACGAAGATGACCATGGTATGACGTCCTTCAGTTCAGGAGAAGAGGACGTGAAGCGAGCCGTTCTTGGTGGTCGCGCAGACGGGGCATGCGTCCACGGCGGCCACGCACACGCGGCACAGGCACAGGTGCCGGCACGGGAGCAGCAGCACGCACGCCTCGCCGCCGCCACACGACTTGCACCGTCTTGGTGTCCCCGATCCGGGCCGGCGCCGGCACGCACCCGGCGTACTCGTCCAGGAACAGCAGGGAGCCGCCCGCCGCCGGGGCTAGGTCGTGCGAGTAGTAGTGCCGCGCCTGTACGGCCATGGCAGACGCGACTCAAGGACTGCGAAAGCGTTGGGTGGGGCAGTGCCAGTGGAAGGAGTGGGAATTGATGGTTCGCAGCCGAGGTGGTTAGGGAAGCCATGCCATGGCTCCGGCTGGCTTGGGTTGGGTGGGGGAAGACTAGATCCGGTGCCCGGTGCCAACAAAAAAACACACGTAGGCGCGCGGCGGATGCGTTCGAGGCCGCGACGAAAGCGGATCGCTTTCGACCGGCCTGGCCGGGCGGGTGGGGGCATTGGGTGTGGACGCCGTTCTTTACTGTGAGCCTAGCAAGCTGCTGGCTAATAGCATCGTGATACAATACAATAGCCGTGGGTGTAAAGATGATGAGTGACTCAGTAGTGCATGTCGTCGTGGCTTTTGCTTTGTTCGGGGCAACCGTGTCCATGCCACCAGTAAAAGCGGTTGCAGCTGCAAGCTGCGGCGCGCCGGCCAGTCAGTCAAAGTCTTCCCCGTCGGAGACGGCTACCGCACGCGAGAGAGATCCGATCGGGCCGTGAAAGCGCCGCCCTCCGAGAATCCGATCGATCCCACACCCGGCCGGAAAACTTCACCCTCAAACGACGAACCATGGCATGGCATGCGATGCGGCCCAAACAATCGCTGGACGCACCGAGCCAGGCTACGACAGATATAATAATAAAATTATTAAGGCGCAGGAAGTCAGGAGCCATGGAAACTGATTTCTCCGCACGTTACATTGCTGTTCACGGCCTACATATGGTTTTCAAAGGATTAGCTTCCAGATGGAGGCAGGATCGGATCGTTGGATACGTAAAGTACGTTCAACGACCTCGGCTCGGCTGGCAAGTTTGGAAAGAGTTTAATCATCTGTACCTGTGGCTCTTCAGTCTGTACACATATTGCAAAAGAAAAAAGAGAAGAGAGGACGTGTCAATCCAAGACCCGATCAATCAAGATGACGACCAATCTGTGGGCTGTGGCACGCATGTGCGATCTTGCATTGTGAGCTTTGATATAGTTGTGACTGGGCCTGACCCTGACGGCAACACACGCACACGCTGCATGCGCCCTGTTGCGGTGTGCGCCGATAGATATTGCAGGTGAAAAAAATCAACAGCTTCTGCGCACTTGCCCTTCCTTCCTCTGCTCATATCCCACGGGCACGAACGCTACCATCCTCGACAGATAGAGATAGGGCATCTCGCATGGGATCCATCTCATCTGGAAGCACTCACGTGTGCGTGTGCGTGTGCGTGACAGAGCGAAACACAGTGCTCTGGTCATCGCGCTGTGCACCGCGCGCACGATGCCTCCGTCGCCGTGGCGTGGCGATCGTGCCAACCTTGATGTGCGTGGCCTGGCGCGGCACCTACCTGCTCTGGCCATATTGGCATCATAACCCTGCAGAGAGACATCGCTGAAGAAGCCAGCATCCTGCATGGATGGATCAGCACCGGAGCGCAGCATGGACAAACAAGCAAGTTCGTGTTTCGCACGAAACTACCGGCCGGTGCTACCGCCACCCGCCGACCCAGTCTCGTCTCGCCGCGATAGCGATAGTGCGTGAGTGTGCCACTACGACGTACACGGCACCTCCTACGTTCACACGCACGCCAGGCCAAACAGATAGTAAACGATCGTAAATTTTCAGCTGGAATAATATTTTTCTCTCATACAAACCAGCTAGCAGTACTTCTTCACGAACCAGCAACGATATGAACCAGCCAACCGAACCGGCTGTAATTCGGGCGCTTGCACGGCGTTCGGGGCCGGCCACGCCGCCCATCCAACGATCTTTCGTCGTTGCCCATGCCATGCCATCCAAGGCACCACCATCAGATCGGACGTGCAAACGTGGTGTGGGGCGTGGAGCAGCTGTTGTGGCGTCTCACCTCACCTCATCGGCTCATCCACCAGCAGTCGCTCACCTCCCTCTCAAAACGATTGATGGCGGCCTTTCGCGAATGGCCATCGATGGGCTGACCCGCTTGTAGGATTCAGAAAGAGACCAGGACAAGGAGCGACGCGTTCTTGGCAGCCGCGCAGACGGGGCACGCGTCCACGGCAGCCTCGCACACGCGGCACAGGCACAGGTGCCGGCACGGGAGCAGCAGCACGCACGCCTCACCTCCACCACACGCCTTGCACGCCGCCTTCGCCACCCTGTGGTCCGCGGCCGGCGGAGCCTCGAAGCAGCATGACCGCGCGTCCTCGACCTCGCCCTCGCCCTCGCAGGCCGCGCAGGCGGGCGACTGGTGGAGGAGCTGGTCGAGAGAGGCGCGGAGGCCGGCGGCCACGGCCTCGTGGCTCCTCGCGGCGCCCATCCACGCCTGGCACTCCGCGCCCAGCTGCCGGGCCTTCTCCTCCAGCTCCGCGTTGCGCCGCAGCGCGCGGTCCAGCTCGGACTCCGCCGCGCGCATCCGCCCCGTCGCTGTTCGCGCCACGGCGGACACCATCGCCCGGGCGTGTCTCCGCCACGCCGACTCCAGCGCCGCACGCATCCTCTCGCTCTGCACAACACCGAACGAACCACAACCATATACAGCAGATCAGGCACGGTTCCACGGAATCAGCAAGTCGATTGATTCCGATCAATCACCAGCACGTACCTCGATTCCTATCAGCGCGTCGATCTCCCTCCCGCTTATGAACGCTGCCGCGCCGGAACCCATCACGGTCCTGGCTGTCATGGGTAGCTGCGGCAGCCCCTGCATCACCACCGACGGGGGCAGAGCCACGCGTTGCTCCTCCAAGAGACCCCCGGTCGGCGCCATGCGCGCCCGCTTCCTCGGCAAGAAAACGTGGCCGAAGTTAAGCTCGCTGCTCGGGAAGTCGCTGAGCAGCGGCGTGTCCCCGATCCCCACTGCCGGCGACGTTGGCACGCACCCCGTGTGCTCGTCCAAGAACAGGGAGCCGACCCTCAATAGGAAGTCGTCGTGGTAGTGGTGCCGCGCTTGCATGGCCATGGCAAACGCAAGGGCCACGCAAGAGGGAACGTACGCAAGGAAGAACTTTGAAGTGCGGGCAAGTGAGAATGAATATGGGTACGATGTACTAATGGTTGCAGGCGTGGCGGCTGATATACACATTACAAAGCAGAGCCAAGTTAGGGTTAGGGAACCAATGAGCGACCGTGGCGTTGGGAGTTCTAAAATTCCACCACCTAAACCGTATGGGAAGAGTCTGTCTAATGTACACACGTGTGTTTTAACATAAGCCAACACATGGTTGCTGGCTGTATGTAAAACACACATATTTCAACATAGGAAAAACCATGTGTTTTTTTGACTAGTTAACACATGGTTGTTAGATGCCTAAGAAACACACGAATTGAAACACTGGAAAAAACGTATGTTTTAAGAGAATGCAACACACAAATTTCATCAGGCAAACAAGGCACACAACTGTTGTTCAGCCCAATAAAGACATGCCAGAGAGGCCCACTAACTAAGAAGACAGAGAGGCCCAATATCAACAAAGAGTAGTTCAACCCAGAGCCCAATAACTAAGAAGACAGAGAGGCTCACTAAAGACATACCAGCACATAAGCCCAAAAACAGCAATCTATATACATGGAAAACAAACCGGGCAAACAGGGGGAAGCCTCTGCCCTCCGTGGAGATCAGATCTCTTCGTGGGGGCAAACAGATCTCTACGTGGAGATGAGATCAGATCAGAGCAGGGGAAAGGAGAAAACAACCGGCAGATCAAAGATGAAGATCTCCTTTGCGTGGGGGCAAGCAGACCAGAGGAAAGGGGCAACCAACCAACAGATTGAAGGGGAACCATTAACCTCAACAGCCAAGGTAAGCACACCGACTTCCTCGTAAAGATGTAATCCAAGATTGCTAGTATTTGCTGCAACCAAATTCAGGAATCAGAAATACAGATTCGCAAATTAAGGAACTCAGGAAACAAAAATACAGAATACCTAAAAATAAATTGTATATTTCAAATACTGCAACTGGTATTTGCTGCTAATGTAATTATACTGATTAAACAAGCATTTTTCAAAAAAGGTAAAGTGAAGCTTATATGTGTTTTTGTTTTGTTTCTCTAAAGTTATTTAAATTTTCCACTCTTGACTTTTTGATTGAGACTCAGCAGCTAGAAATCATAAATAAATTTATATTCTGTATCTGACCCTTGTCTTGAAGGCAAGGTGCTAGCTATAGGTTGACTTACACCTTAGTAACAGAAAACAAGTATGAAAAGCAACATCAACATAGAATGGAGAGTGATTACCTCTTATTGAATAGAGAGGCATGAAATCTTTAGCCATGCCATCTGCTTCATAATTGCAAGACAATAAGTACCATCTGGATCAGGTTCATTTTTTTAGATGAAGACATGGGTTTATATATGCAAAACCCCAAATCACAGGTGCCTGATATATTACCCTGATCCTGTAATCCTATGTTCACACTAATCAGAAGACTAATGTACCTAATGCATCTGACATTTGACGACAAGGCAAGAAGAGAGATTATCTTCCTGTCACACCAATTACTTCATCTAGATATGTTAGGTTGAAGGATGAAAGGAAGCCAAACAAAATAGGTTTCTTCGTCGCTAAAGCAACAATTTTAGATTCCAGCAAAAGCTACAAACCTCATGAGGTCATAGAGAAACACTTCCCTTATGGCTGTAAAGGCTATGGTCTAGCAAATCCATAAGTGCCTCACCAACAAGGTAGTAACAGAAACAAATCATAAATAATTCAATAAACACATTACGATTTTTTCTATAGTATGATAGACAAAATTCTGAAACGTGTTGCCACAAATCATAAATAATTCTGGCCCCACGAATTCAATATATGTTGCACCAGAAGAGCCCCTGCAACCAAGCACACCATACCTGGAAGAGAATCCCAAATGAGATTGTACCCACGACATGTTCTACCATGTAACTGATGATCTACATTTAAGCTCGGAACAAGAACAACACATGAGCTACTAAAGACAAGATGAGGCTACCAAAAGTAAGCAGGCTACCATGTAACTGAACCACGTTAGAGCAATATTATTTCTCATCAAGACTACATATTGCACATGTTGGGCACTATAATTGGTGAAAATGAAGTATGCAATTTACTACTTATAAATGTGCAATGAAGAAATGGATACTAAACATAGCCTTTTTGTACACTATATGCAACACACAATTAAAATATATGAGAGCTCCTACTATTCTACAGTATATGTACAGAATCAAGACCTAATATATAGCTGAATGATATCTCAGGGTCAGTACCAAAATGTGCACGCCTCACTCTAACTAAAAAAGACTTACCCAAGGCTATACACAGCTGAGTGGAGCATGTCAATCTTCTAGCTTCACCGCTGAGAGCAAAAACATTCACAATTAACATGACAAGAAACAATTTTTTTATGGAAAACAAGGATAAAAACTTGGCTTGGGCAGGCAAAAATCACAATAAAAAGAGGAAAGGGGGTGCCACAAATCACAATTGATAAACTTCAAGATGTGTTAGCACAAATGACAAGGACAAAAATGAGATGTGTGTCGGCACAAATGACAAGGACAAACTATGCTTTCTATTTATTGTGTTCCTTTAGTGCTATACATTTATTGTGTTCAAAAACAAATATGCAAGCCAATGATGGTAGCATGAATAACACCACAAACTATGCTTTCTATTTATAGCTGATTCTAACTACTTACAATAGGCCTACTGTGTGTTAGATGCATGGAATATGTAATGATGACAAACCTTCTAACTAGCAAAATATGAAATCTGGATGTTTTAACAGAACATGAATCTAGAAAGAAGAACAAGGCTGCAGGAAATGTCAGAGGCACAATATCAGATTCACAATTATGAGGATATGATTCGCCAAGAAGAAAGCAACAATGATGTAAAATTACTCCTAATTCAAAACAGTTGACACAAACAATAAACAAATGAGAACTAATGGCTTCTTCATTTTCTTGCAGGTTTCAATTGCTTCCCTTATGCAACTAATACAAGCACCAGTCGAGTTTGATCAACTACTTGAGGTAAGAAACACAATTCAATGATGCAATGAAAAGCTATGTAAGTACTCACCTGCTTGCTTTTTTTATGAAGCAGAATAATATGTATGTCACAACAAGTAGATGTAATGATTATCCAACATCAGTGAAGTCACAAGAAGCAATTAAGGAAGTGCAGTCAGCTCCTTACCAAATATTTGCAGGCACAAATTGTTCTAGTGACCTTTCAAATACCTACATATACAAAAAGGTGAGCAAAATCATTGCTTAGAATCAAAAAATACCAACATAAGAAGGTTGTTTTTCGACTAGAATATATTTCAATGCAGGGAGGCTACACTGAACTTATGATAGAACAGATCAGGAACTCTCAGGAAGATAATCAGACTGACTGGAATACGTAGGTAAAATTTTATAATACCAGTACACAAAAATTACAATTCAGACATATGTAAATTACACACATATGTGCAATGTAATTTCAGCATAACAGTACTTTAATTTCAATGCTTCATTATAAACTGTGCATCAACATGAAGAGATGTAAGGATCATTAACAAAGATAATACTTCGAAATGACAGGAATGAGGTAAAACTATATTATATATGCTTGTCAAACTAGTTGTGTTATATTATAAATGGTAACCATTCTCATTATCAAACAAATAAAACAGAATATGAGACTTGAAGATCTGGATGGAATCTTTGGACCACAAACTGACTGGTCAATATCAGAGTCAAGGCTGTCATATGAGGTACATACAGACAGCTGATCCAATTTGATTACATTTATAAGCAATACAAATATGTACTGGCATCAAAGTAAAACTTATCTTTGCAAAAACAGGATGGAGATATGGCAATCGTCGCTGATGATGATGGAGCAACGACAAGCATAGCTGATGATGATAGATCTGAAATTCAACAATACCATTGGCAAACTGATGTATTCAATAACATGGACATTGATGAGGTACATAAAAAATGATCTCTTCAACTATTTCAGTACACACTGAAAAAAAAAATTTGTATTATAAATCACGTTACTCAGAAACTGAGACTGCTGCTAATATATTTACAGGTGTAGCATGAAAATCAAGATGACCAACCAACAATGGGAGAAAATGACTTGAGGATCATAGCAGTAGAACCAACAAGTTCAGATATTACATCAACAGTAACAGATGATAATGAACATGTAAATGGCAGCCAGGAACTGATAGAGGAAGAGATTGAAGAATTCATAAAAAATGAGCAGGTTGCAGCATCTGAAGGCAATAATGCACCAATCAACAGCAAGTACACCCCACAGCTATCGATGGAATTTAAGAGTAGGGACGATGCTCACCATTTCTTCAACTTCTATGCGTTCCTAGCCGGATTTCAAGTTGCCATAACACATACGACAAGAACTCAAAGTAAGAAGAGAAAAAATGAGGTAGTCAAAGTGATAATGAGATGCACTTGTCAAGGAAAAGAAAAGGAACAAAAGTGTTTAGAGCAAGAAGAAGCTCAAGTAGACAAGGATGTTGGGAAGAAACCGGTAAGGAGAAGGAAAACAAATGTTCAGCAGAAGTCAGACTGTCCTTGTGTTATGATGGTGAAAGAAGAAGGAGGTGTATGGAAGGTTAAAACTTTTGATTTGGAGCATAATCATGAGCTATGCCCCGGAGACAGGGATTAGCTATTTTCTGGTCACAAGTATATGACAGAAATGGAAAAAGGACTTATCAAGACTCTGAACGATAACAATATCCCGACTAGGAAGATGGTTTCTATTCTATCGTATCTTAGAGGGGGCTTACAGCTCTACCAATGAAAAAGAAAGATATCAGCAACTACAGGACAAGGCTGAATAGAGAAGTTAAAGGATCAGATATGGCACAAGTACTGGATTATTTCAGAAAGAAACAAACTGAGGATCCGTCTTTCTTTTACAAGTTTGATTTAGATAAGGACAAGAGAG